TGTAGTCTCTCTCTCTCTCTCTCTCTCTCTCTCTCTCTCTCTCTCTCTCTCTCTCCAATGAACTATGGTCTTCCACAGTCCATTGGATGATGGTATACTTTCCTTTCAACAGATCATATATGTGCGTATACAAAGGGAGGGCACAATGAATGTGGGAATCCTGCTTACCCTTGTTCACAAAAATTGATCCTGGTCGGAGATTTTCATGAGCTTCTATAATGCTTTTCTCAATGCCATCAACAATGACATCAAATGATTGTCGTACAAATCCAAGAGATGTTACAAGATAAACAACATACTGAAGGTAACCCCCTGGTCCTGCATGTGTGTGAATACCACTGATGGCCACATTTTGTACATTGTATAGGTTCCCGTACCTGGAAAGATATAGAATGTGAAAACATCATAAAGACAACATCAGATAAATACCTTTCAACAAGTTTAATCTTCTGGATAACCACTATACTGAAAAAATCTCTGAAAAGTCTAGCTCCCTAATAAAATAGTAAGCATTCAGTAAATAATAAATCGTAGCTCAGGAAATAATAAAACAATCATTTGCTTTCTTTTATTAAGATTTGAGTGTTATTGAAGTTTCTCAAGTTAACAACTATACTGAGATAAGTGGTTTTCTTTGAGTATTGAGGAATTTATACAAGATTTTAATGTTGGAAGTCATTGAGAGACATCAAAGTGATGGTGATCCCAATTTTAGACATCAAAATTGATCAATAAATAATCAAACTATGGATCAGAAAACCATTAACCTCGTCAAGCATAGTGAAACCCATTTCATAAACCATCAAGCAGCCACATACTTCTAGGAAACTGCTTAGAATCAAGAACAGAATTATAGAATAAAAGAATAATGCTCTCATTCTGAATAAAACAAGAAAAAAAAAGTCCTAATTAGGCACCACTATAGGATAACGTAAAGGGAATCGAGCAAGAACCAGAAACAATAATAACAACAATCATGGAAGGAGAGAGAGAGAGAGAGAGAGAGAGAGAGAGAGAGACAACTACCT